GCATTGCAAGCCACTCTTTTGGATCACTCACACATCTGGAAAGAAAGGCATGGAGAAGGTTAGATCATCGACATTTTCCACAGCAAATTAGTTAACATTAACTGCAGGAAAAATTATTTGTGAGGAGAACCATCCAGGAAACCAATTAAAAAAGTGGATTTGAGAGGGTATGTGTTCAGAGAACTGTGTGGGAAGCTGTGTGCATAGCTTCCACTGAAGTCAGTGTCCAGAGGAGCATCCTGGGAGATGGATGGGCCTTGAGAAAATGTCTTTAAGTATTGTCACCTTTATCTGGGTGAATATGAAACCTATCACTTACTACCTGATGACTGTGTTCATAGCCTGGTTAAAAAACTGGGATAAGCAACCACAGGAAAAAAGTCCAAGAAAACAAGACAAAACCAAAACCAACCAAACCAAACCTGCCACCACCAAAATCAGGCAACCAAACAATCCAGTGAGGGGGAGGAAGGCAGGCTGCACATCAATGCTTTACATTTCTGCCCCAAACTTTCCACACAGCTCACAAATCTTCAGAAAAGTGGGCAAATATGACTCCATTTTGAATAATAATCATGATAAAACAATGAAATTACTTTGCCAAGGAGTCCCAGTGCTCTCCTCATTAAAATTGGGGATGAATGCATGAGCCTCTTTCCCTGCTTTGTTCTTGAATCTGTTAGCAGAAACCAGAGGTGATTTCAGTAGAGGACAAAATGTACTTTTTAATTACTTTATTGCTCATGTGACCCAATTCCTCATGCTGATGGTTCCCATTTTATTTTGGGAGGTTACATGCTGTGGTGTTTAAAAGGTAGCTTGTGCTTCCTCTAGTAGTATCTCTTTTGTAAATAAATAAAGCCCCTCAGAATCCACAGAAAATATCACAGCACTTTTTCTCTGCAGTAAATTATGACCAAATAACAAAATGTTTCAGGCTCAAAGGCTGTAACTAAATACAGACAACATTCCCCTACTTTCTGAATGCTGCAAGAAAGCCAACTTCTGTCTGGTGGCTTAGCAGATTGAGGGTACTTACTCAGAAGTCAACACGCATGATCACTGCACTGTGGCTACATTGTGTTGGGATAGTTCTGTCCACAGGTTGGGGTTGGGAAATGATTCAAACCAAGCCAAGCAGTTCCTGTGCCTGAAATGCCTTCCTTGAGAGGATAGAGCCGTTCCAGAGGACAGGCATAAATTGCACTAACTGGTTTTTGTGTGTCTTGAAGGACAGATAACTGTCTGTATTTACAAAGGACCACAAAACAAACTCTGTGAGAGGAACTCTACTGTTGGATGAGCTCCCTGTTCCAAGTGCATGGAGTCTGGAAAGGTCTGTGATGGAGGTCCAGCACAGGGGAGCTGTTGGGAAGAGCTGTCATCATTTGTTGTCTCTTAACCAGTTTTAAGTTCTGTAGTAAACATGGTGACTGCTGTAAAACCAGAGCAGCGGTGGGGTGCCAAATCTGTATTCCCCTTGGAGGTCTTGGGCAGGGACAAAGTTTCTGACTGTAGTGGTCAGATCTGGGAAGCAGGACTGCTGCTCAAGGCACTCCTGAGGGACACTCTGGTCCTGGTGTGACACTCTGACCTCATTTCTTTGTGAAATTCTGACTCATATTTGACCTCTCAAGCTGAAACCTTGTAAATTGTCTTTCAGAAGATTTCAGCCAAAGTAGTCATACCATGTTTAAATGTAAACCAAGTAAAACCGATTGTATTGCCCATAGTAAAAATCTTTTGGAATTTCTTCTTAGAGTTCTATCACCTGCCTGGCTCACAGAGGAAAAAATGAGAATTTGGAAGGGCATGATCTGCATTGTGATTGCTCTTTTATCACCTGAAGGAATATCTGGGCATGTCATAAAATGCCCAAGCCATAAAATGGGCATAAAAAAGCATAAAATGCCATAAAAATGCCATAAAAAACCCTCCAAAAATCACACTAATTTAATGGAATGTCCTTTATCAGCAAAAGCTGATTATGGTTCACCTCCTGTGCGTGAGTGGACCTTCTGTGCACATCCCACCACCCTCCAGGAGTGCAGACCCTGCCATCTGAGCAGACTCATGCTCAGTGATGATGAAGGCAAAGGATGATTTCCCCCAGAGCTCCTTCCTAGCCAGCAGCTTGGGAAAAGGCACTGGGAGAGGGTGGTAAAGCAAAGTGAGTAGGAAGCTACCCCACTCTGTTCTGGCTGCTCTTCCTGCTGGGAGGTGGACAGAGAGCAGGAGGAAGCTGGTGGAAATGCCAAGGGGAGAGCACAACCCACCAGAGGAAAAGCTGGGGTGAAGGACACAAGATCAATGGCTGTGAGGCAGAATGTGGAGAACTTGCTGAGACAAGAGGCTGGTGAGGAAGGTGGTGGGTGAGGTGATGTCTGGGATTAGCTGGGAATAGGGAGAGCAAGAGAAACAGAGCTGAAAGGACATGAGAGCAAGAGTGCAACCTTCTTAGAGGTCATTCCTAAAACATGAAATATTGAAGTTCGAGCATCATTTCTCTTCTCCTCCAGGATTTGGTGTCATGGACATCAGAAAATACCAGGATAAGTCCTGATTCTTAAGTCCTGACTCCTGCAGGGGTCTTTGGGACTAGTTAAACCTTTAGGGTTAAACTGTCTGAGAAACTGAAATCTCTGGGAGATTTTACCCCCCACCTCAAGAAAGGCAAAGAAAGCTGCTCTAGTTCATCTCAGAAATGGGGGTCTTCAGGATTTATTTTCCTGCAAAGCTGAGAGTTTAAAAAAATCTTGCATTCAGCTTTGTGGAGTCTGCAGCCCCGACTTTCAAACCAGAGTCTGTGAAGCACAGGATCCACAGACAGATTTGGTAAGGCCTGCACAGAGGTATTTCAGAAAAACAGGGCTTTTGTTTAAACCCTCTATAATTGCAGATTTCACCTACAGGAAACTAGGAAAAAAATTACAAGTCCTTAATGGACAGTGGAAGGATACAGGGGAGACCAGAGACAAAATCAGTTTTCCTCTTACAAGGAGGCCAGTTCTGTGGAGCCAAGGTTAAGCACTTGTGGTTTTGGTTTGGTTTATGCTCTTTGGGCCCCTGTCTGCAAAGATAAATGAAGATCTTTTCTGATGAAGATAAATTGCTTCTGCCCACCAGAGCTTTCAGCTTCAGTTCTAGCTGGGATATGCTGATAATCCTGAGATACAAAATTGTCTTCTGAATATATTGCAGTTAACTTCAGCTGTATAGACCCAAGCATTAGCTGTATACTATAAATAGGCAGGATGTGCAAGGAGGCCAAGTAGAAAATGTGCAGAAACTCTGCCTTTTTTCCTTAGTGCTATGCTTCATCATGTATAATATTTTTCATCTGAAAAGGAAACGGCATGCACGTGCTTTGTGGCTGCTGTAATTAGCTGGACATAATGAAGCACTGAATTTCACACTTCAGAGAAGCAGATTGGGAAGGATGGGTAATTTTTTCAAAAGTTTTCCTGCTTTTAGTATTTTCTTGGAGGTAGTTTTTTGCAAGATTGGGAAGGGAGCAAGAATACATCTGGTTTATATTACATGATGGCTGTACTTTGGCAGTGGAAAAAGATGGCATTTGAAAAAATGAAAGAATCAAAAATAAAAGTTTGGCAACTACAGAATAGAGCAACAATTACAAGAACTATCTTAAAATTCCCAGGATTTGTAATTTATTTTTCCATGCTTGTATTTTTCTGATGTTGCTGGTGCTAAAGGAGTGGGACAGAAGAAATTCAGTTGGACTTTGCAAAGTTCAGATATCTCTGTGAAACAATCCCCTTTATTCAGGTTGCCCCCACAGCAACTGCTGTGATTTTGCATGTGACAGGGATAAGAAGCAAGAAAAAGTGATAGACCATAATTTTTTTTTTCTCATTTATTCTTCAGTCAGTGGACATGAAGTCTTGAAGGGGGTCTCTCTCTTAGTGGGTCTTATCTATGGAGATGAGGCAGAAGCAGGATTAAGGCAGATGGTTTTGGAAACAGAGATATATGAGGCATCTTTCTGGTGGGAGAGGATGGGAGTCAGGAAAATTTATTCCAGCAATGCAAGAGCACCTCATAATGTGTCCCCTGGTGCAGTTTGAAGTTTTTCTTCCCTTTGTATATTCACCCAGGAAATAGGTTTTTCCCCCCTCACAGAAAAGCACTAAGAACTGAGGCTCCACTCATGTTGTGGCCATTTGGATCCTGGGGCAGAGATGTCGGGAGCCCAGGACACTGCCCACCTGCCTGGGTTTGAGCTGTGGATGTGACCTGTGGGCACCTTCCAAGGGTGGAGGATGTGATGCCTCCCCTGGGGCTGCTGTTCACACCCTCCAGTTTGGAGAGTGCAGGGGTTCAGCTCTGCAGGGCTGGGGCCTGAGGAGGTTGGGAATCTGCTTCCCCTGCAGTGGGATCTGAGCTCTGGGACTTTTTTTACCCCCAGGCTGTACAGCAGCTGAGCTAACTTGAAATAGAACGCTGAACCAAAAAAACCTTCTAAATTATTTTTAAGTAAAAGCTAATGTGAAAATGTGGGAGTTTAGACCCATGTAAATGCATTACATTTAAAACAATTTTCAAATGTAGATAAAAAAAATATTCTTGCCCTTAAAATTCCTGAAGAACACATTTTTCCTTCTGAGTCATGATTTAATTAGATTATATTTTTATTAGACATTCTTTACAAATTATAAAATACTGCTATTATACATGCACAGAGGAAAATCAGTTTGAACAATCATATGTAGGCATTCATTGAAATCAACCACAAAACAGAAACATTTTATGTCAGTTATCAATGTACTCAATATGTATATCTAAAGTGCATTATCTTACAAAAAATATAGGAAGTCAGCAGCACCAAGATACGTTCACAAAATAAATACACCAGTCAACAAAATAAATTATAGTAAATGTGACAATAATAATTGTCTCAGCCTTATCAGAAAAAAAAAAGGAAAAAAAAAGGAAAAAAAAGGGAAAATTCACAATAGCCAAATGTGCAGTTTCAGAGAGCAATGAGGGGAAAAAGGTTTCATTCTGAGCATTTACAATATTTACAGATAATAAATATTTTAATACTTCCCATATATTCACTATTACAGAATACTGCAATATGTCCTCCAAATATCTCTTGCTGAAGATGTCAGCACCTCCTGCAAAGAAAAGAAAGGACAGGAAGAACAGAAACATTAATTAATTTTCACTTTAAATGTGTGGACATAGAATCAATAGTAAGAGTGCCACGGACTGCAACAGGTGTGCCTTGCTAGTAACCATTTGCAGTAACAGGGCCTGTTTGTGCCTTGCTAGTAACCATTTGCAGTAACAGGGCCTGTTTGACCACGCCCCAGCTTCAGACATTTATTCAAGGTCTCAGTCATGTTTTTCTCAATGCAACCCCTCTAGAAGTATGATGACCTGCAATTTGTCACACACTGAGGCCATTGTACCCTCACAGGAATGGAAAAGGTTTTGTTTTATTTAGAGCCTTACGTAAAATTCCTGAGTGTAACAAGAAGAAGAATTGTATCACTTTATGATAAAAATGTGAAGTGCTGGAAAAGAAAAAAAAAATACAGTTGGAGAAAGAGAAAATTGTTTTGAAGATATGGAAAAGGAAATCCTTGTTAACGCTGTGGCAATGCTGTGTTAACTGCTGGAGTGTGATGCCATGTTCTGATTAAAACAGTGCCATTGTGCTTATTTTATCTCTGTTTCCCACTGATAGACCACTCCTTGAGCAAGGGACTGTGGTGCATGTGACTAAAGGCTACTCAGGGCTTGAAGTGAGCAGACTCTTGACAGCATCTCTTGTGTACTTGACTGAGTGAAAAGGCTGTAATCGTGAAACTTTCCCTCTGGGAGCCAGAGAGCTTGATCCTGAAAGAAAGCAACCGTCCTATCCTGTTATCCTCCAGCTCCAGCTGCATTCAGCCCAGCTGAAACAATCAACTGCACCCAGTCTGAGTGTTTTCTAAGGGATGGTGCAGTCAGGTGTGAGTTCTCTCCCCAAGAGAACTAAGCAGAGCCTGCTCCCAGCCTCTCAGTGTATTACTTGCACTTCAACATGAAATTGCTCAGAGGTGCTGCAGGAAATGCTGAAGGGTTGCAATTTTTTTCCCTTCTGTCCCTGTGAACAGCACACATTTTTTAGTGGTTCCCTGGGAAATACCTGAGGGTGAAATGTAGATATGTAGGATGGAGTGAAATGAAATTCTCTCTGCTGTAGGACTGATTAACAGAGATGGGGGTAACAACCCATGTGGAAAAAGTGTGTGGGTATGAGGCACAACAAAACTTCCATCCTGGAGAGTTTAAAAGAGCTTTCTTAATATGCACATTGAAAGGGAGTCTACATCTATCATTAGGGAGTTTGCTTGTTCAAAAGGTTTTATAGGAAATTAAGTAAGAACACCTTAATTGAATTGAAACGGGGATATAGTTGGAATGTCCATGAGAAATAACTTTTTAAGAGCCTGGAATGGAAATGCTAGCATGAAGTTCCGTAATAAGTAGTTAACAACAATATTAGGGTCCATTTCAGGATATATTCCAACAGGTATAATGATGGCACACGATTCATACAGCATGGCTGTGTATGTGTGCGTGTTTGCACTACTCAGGCCTACTTCTAAGAGGGTGACATTTTCAATTAAGCCTGGATTTTAGGTTTGGTTTTAAAGTTTAAGCTAAGCTACATCTTGACAGTGGGCTCTATACTAATAATTTACAAGCTGCATTTTGTGATTGGGACCTAGATTTTGCAAGATTGGCTTCTTCCATGAGATTCTCTATGTAGTAAGTCAAAAGATCTAGAAATTATATTATTGTTGTCCATTTTTTTCTGATATAAACCCAAAATTTTGTTTTCAAGACTGATCAGAGAGAATTGGCATGAAGATTTTAATCCAGGGTGTTCAGCAGAAAAGGAGCACAGAAATACAGTGAAAATCATGCTTAAAGTTTACATCCTTTGCCAGCCTACTGTGGTAACTAAAAACTCATGTACTAGAAGTTTGTTAGGACTAAACCAACATGTTCCCTGTACTTGTGAAGGAGGAATTTCCTTTTCCTTTTTTAACAGATTCTTCTTGTTTAATCATCTCCAATTCATTAGCTAAAATATAGGTCCTTTTTAGGAATCTCTGAGAAATGCTGAATTTGGATGTTGGACTCCACAGTAAAGCTGAGAGCCTTCAGCCATCCAGACACATTTCAAACAGAAAGGCTGAACTGGGAAAATCAACAGGGTTGTACCTGTAGCTCTTTTATAAACCCCATTAGGTGGCCACCAAAGACAGCACAGCAAGAAAAAGAAGTAACTGTTAAAATTCCCTAGGATGTTTTTTCCATTCTATATTACTTTGTGCTCAAGGCAAGTGTTATTTACTGGCCAAAACAGACCCTTGACATCTGTTGAAGCCTCAGGCACCTCCTGAGCAGAATCCTGAAGTTCACCTTTCCTAAGGTGCTGACAAACCAATGTCTTTAACTTCCCACCTACCTGCTACAGCCATGCCAACTCGTTTATGGTCTGAGATACCCTGGCCTATGGCCTGAGTGCCCAGGCCCAGGTTGGTACCTCCTGTAGATGCCAGCATGAGCTGAGGTGATGGAGCACATTGTAAACTGTGGCCTGTAAAGCTTAACCCCAGGCTGGAATTTAGTAAATCCCACAGCTGGTGTCTCTTTGCAAGAGATTTACTGCAAGCAAGTGGCACTTCTCTTATGTCTGTGTTCTGCCAAGGTGAGGGGGAGGAGGAGAGAAAAGGGTGGTGAAACGCTGGTGAAATGCAAACATTCAAGAGCTGAAGAGTGGGATCCTTGGCTTTGCCTGCAAGTGTGCAGATTTCCACTCAAGCTGAGATGACTGCAAGGGTATGAGTCACTTGGGACACCTAGGCTGATGTCTCCAGGCCACTGCCCTAAAAACCCTTCATTGTCATGCATGAGGGAAGCATACTCCTCTCCAAAAGCAATGCTAAACATTTTTAGGCAGCAACATAATAGTTTCACAAGCTGACAGAAGGATGGAGCTGAATTAAAAAGTCCTAATGGCAGGGAGAATTTTATGGTGAAAGGCTGGTTTGAGTTGCTTGCAGATATTACTGAGAGTGAAGTTTTCCATGTTCTCCCCTAAGGTTAAACAGTAGAATGAAAAACTGTAAAGCAAGAGTAGGAAAGTTGCCAAAAAGGGGAGGTGTTGAGAGGAAGGAAAGAAAACTTAACCATTTTATAGATGCAAAGCCTTAAATAAAAGTCAAAGCTTTCAATCTGCTGAGGCCCAACTGTGGGACCAAGATAGTGAGATACAGTAGGCTAAAGCAGGAAAGGAAATTTTAGTGGCTGTGATGTGCTTCCTTTTCACAGAAATACCTTCACTTAATACTCAGCTTCAGGCAGCAGATTTTGGCAAGAAGTTGTTTACGTGAATTGTGTCTCATAGGAAAGAAATGGTCTGTCCTCAGTGCAAAGTGGAAGGGGCACTTACCTGCAGAGAGCACGTTGAGACTGTGCTTGAAAAACCACTGCCCAGATCTGCTTTTACTCCCAGTTTGAGCGAGGCCTTAGTCTCTCACACCAAGGGATAACAATTCAGTAAATACATGGCACACTCCCCAAGAGAATGTAGCAGAATTACCTTAAAGTGTGATTATGTGTAGTAACAGAGATGTCCAAAAGTGGGCTCTCGGTCATGATGTCTCCATACATGCCAGAATTTAGCCAAGCTGAGCGGGTTCGCCTCTTTTTCTTCTCTTGTTCCTTACGTTTTCCAGGCTTTGCTTTCTTTTTCTTCCCTGACACCTTCAGGGGCTGCTCCTTGTAGGTCTGTGATTTGTTTGTCTCCTGAGTTAGGTATCTGCCCTCATCTTCACTGCCAAACCGGACAGGATAGTTCTTCGTGTTGGTAGCAGGTTTAGGGTTAGGTGACACCTCTGATGTTGTACGGATCTCTGCAGTGTTGACACCTTCGATTAAATTTTGAAGAAATATTCTTCTTCGTAAGTCTTGGATTGACTTGCCCTTGTCATGCAGTAGCTGGTGCTCTGATACAGCTCTTTTGCTAAAGGAAGAGAAGAGAGGAGAGGGAAAAGTGGTTAGGATTTGGTTATTGCCCAGTGCTTGGCAGAGTTCCTCTCTTCTCTGGCTGTGGTGGCCACAGTGACCATGTACCAGGCTTGGAGACATCCAGTGAAGTCAGACTGCTGGAGCACGTCCTGCTTCTTCCGCAGAGTAGCTGTTCTCAGCAGAGAAGGGAAAGTCCTAAGCAGGTAATAATTCTCAGCTGACTGATCACACACCACTGGACCTGGAGCTGGATTAGTCACTGCTCTGTTCTAGGAAAGCATCATGACTCTTAATATATCACACTTGAGGCAGTAAAAGCAGGAAGGCAGTTGTCAGGGATAGGAAAATGAAAGGGTCAGCTAATACAGCAAGGGAGGAAAAACCCAGTGCTTGTACTGTAGCCAGAAGCAGCGTTTATGAAGCATCATTCTAGTGATTTTCTTCTGCTCAGTGTACTTCAAAAACTTAAACAAGCATATAAAAGCACACTTTACTCCTATATTTAAATAAGTGAAATTGCAGTAGCATAAGGAATATTGCAGGAGCAAAAAGGATATAAAATATTTTTATATTTGAACTTGGGTGCCTAAAATACAGGCACTTCAGTCCATAATGAGCTATCCAAGGAGGCAGCTTGAGCATCAGCAGAGACGAGCCTCAGCCACTCCTGTGGATTTACTGCTTGGTCACTTGTGTCTAATTACGGTTTTAGATGCCCTCCTAGTATTGCTTTAAGTGTGAACTTTTGAGGCCAAATTTCTTGTCTGCTATGCTGTCTGAATTTCATGCTAACCCCCTTCACTGGATCTTCTTCAAGAGCATCCTGGTTTGTTAGAGTGGTTTTTCCAGAGTTCATCCTGACCTTTTGGTACACTGAGCTCTGTCTTGTTTTCAAGAAACTGGGAGATGAGTAGCTATCTGTCTTTTAGGGATGTTTTTCTGACAAGGAATTAAACATCTCAGGAAAGAAGATACAAATGGTACCTGAATAATAAATAACCAGAGAAAAGGTGGGAAAATACATGCCTTTTTCTTGAAGTGGAATAGATACGCAGCTGCACAGTGAACCACAGACAGAGCACAAACTGGGATTTTAGCTACATTCCCATGAATGCAGTAATACAGTTTATCCTTCCAATTGCTCTACTCCATCATGCAGAGTTTGGCTATGGAATATCTCCTCTTGCATGAGGGTATGGCATGTGACTGGATTCTCACTGGCCAAAGAAATTACATTCACTGCCTTGCCTGTCCTATAATCATTTGTTCAATTAGCTGAGTAAGAAGTGGTTTCTGCATTTGGGTGAACAGGAAGAAGACACATCATATTCCTTCCTTCCATCCCTTTTTTTCCTGCTATGCTACCACATTTGAAAATGCAAAATATTTGGGAGCATTCTTTTTCAGTCCCCTCAGCCAAATTCTTTAGGTTTATGACTTGATCAATAGTAGAGCTACTGGAAGTTGGCAATTTCAAGTAGCTCTGGTTTAAGAGCATCCTCTTCAATTTCTGTATTTGCAGGGCTGCACTTTTTGAGTATTGGGTTCAAGTGATTGATTTAAGTGATACTACATCTCTATTGCTCAGGGCAAAATTCAAACAGCGGCTTTCTCCCATTCCACAGTAAGACTGGAAGATGACTGTCAAAATCTTGCTCAAAATCAGCTCTGCATATATTGAGGTTTGTGAATACACATGTAATCGAATATCTGTGATTTAAGTGTCCCCAAATCTGTTTTTTGAATGACTTCAGCTATTGGGGCAAATATTTTATGACCTTCTACTAAATGTCCCTGAGCAAAAATGCCATGTGATAATGCTAAGCTGATCCCATATCGTGTCTTTCTCTTCAGTGCAGTTGTGACCATTAATGCAAGCTCATGATCTCCCCCAGAAGAATTTTTTTGAACAAGGGCCATCTCCAACACACTTCTTATTAGGGTCAGTCTGATTGGCAAATAGGCCAATAAAACCAGCACCCTGGGCTCCTCTGTTCAACTGCCTCTGTGCTGCCTGTCAGGCTGTCCAATGTGACTCATGATACATTCTGAGCTTCAGTATTCTATTTTCTCAAGAAATTTGCATGGGAAATGCAGTTCTGCTTTCACTCTTCTTGTTCATAGAAAGCGTATGAAATCTCCATGCTTTAGGGAGTCTAAACCAGTGTCTCATGTGATGAGCAAAGCTTTCCTACTGCCTCTTGTGAACTATCAAGGATAATTCCTTCTATCACTGACAACCCAAAGCTGCCTCAATCCTCTAATATGTATTTGGTCAAGTTCCCCACTGTGACAAAATCTTGACTCTCCAAAGCCTGTTATTAAAGTCCTCTTGATTGAAAACCTGTTCCATTTCACAGGAGTGAAACCTAAACATTTGGTTCCAGTGCACACAAGGCAGTCAGAGAGCATTACAAGATCTACATCTTGAGTGAGTATGCATTTCCAAAATAATGCAGGGATTGATGTGTGAGGGGTTGGTGTGCCAGAGGGTGGGTTTCTCTTTAAATGTCTGTATAATATTTAGCATCAAGTCTGGCCCCAAATAACATTCTTCTATTCCAGATGATTGTATAACATTATGTAGTGTAACATTTCATATGACTTTTATTACTCAGACAGACTTAAGGATTACATTTTGCCTACCAGCTTCCTTTGTATGCTCTAGATCAAAAAATCTCTTTGAAACAAAGATGTGCTAGATACTTATCTCTTTGACCTTCTGCCTCCTTCTGCCTCAGTTATTCAAACAACTACTATGTTTGTAAATCATGGAGAAAGGCTTGCCCAAGAAGACTGATGTAAGAAGTGCTTGATAATGGAGATATCAGCAATATCTCACCCACACACTCAGAGTAGGAAGGCAATGGAGACTGGAATGATTGCATTCACATATTGGCTATGATATGGAAAAAAAATATTAGGCTGTTAGGGTTAAGATGACCCACTAGAGGTCCCTTCCATCCTTCTATAAAACACACCTCTCATCCAAGGAAAAGGATCTTGTACCAAAGCAAGAGCAGTGAATACTAAGCTTATATGTGGCAGGAGCTTTTGAGAGAGGGTTGTTAATGGTTTGTACTTGACCAGAGCATCCAAACCAATTACTGGATCAAAGTACACTGTGTACATATGAGACTGAGTGTCTCATCATGGGGAGAGCAGCAGAAATCCATGACTTGGGAATATCCTGACTTCATGTACTTCTAGATAAGAGCTTTCAGGCACATTCCTTCTTTTTTTTCTTTTTTCCCCTTGTGATATCTAGCATTTCTAAAAGGCAACATTCTTCAGTCTATCTCAGATAGACTTTCCACTTTCTATCTCAGAGAGCTGCTCTTATTTAGCTGTTATTATCCTTGACTGTTCAAGTTGGGTTTGATCCCAAATTCAGCAAGATAACTGAGGAGGATTCAGTCAGCTCTCTGGATTTTGCAAGACTGAGTGCCCTTGCCACTGACTCCAAAGGGAGGGAAATCTGCTCAACCTATCTCAGGCTTAGGAAAAATGTTTTGAACAGATCTAGGGACATGATGCTGCAATGTCTGGACATGATGATAAAAATATGTCATTTCATTTTGAGGCATTACTGGGTTTCTCAGAAGTTTTTTAGCAGCTAAAGCACTCCTATAACAAATAACATGTCTGGAAATCTTTTCTTAGGACAATTTGCTATTGCTTACCATGGTAGATTTGCTTCAGCAAAGTCTGTAGAACCAGGCCTATGTAATTTTGATTATTTTTGCATGTATATAATAATGTGCTTCAGTATTTTCATCCACTACTGGTCTAAGGTTTTGACTGAGAAAAAAAAAATCTCCAAGCCTAAGTGAGTTATTAACCATTAACTCTAGGAATGGTTTGTGGTAATATTAAAACAGGACACATGTTTGAGTGCGGTGTCTGTGTTTGTGCTGTGCCCACAAACAAAACTACATGAATACCACTGACAGCTGACTGGTTTCTTGTGTGTGTTTTACATGCCAGAGCAAAGAGGGAGCTGAGAAATGCATTTTCACTGGTTTCCTTAGGACATTCAGGACAGAATGGGGATGTTGAGAAGACCTCTAATCCTGACCTTTAAAAACAAGTGTTAGAACTACACTAACTTCAAAAAGAGGAAGAGTATTTCTCCATAAATCTAATTTATTTTTTTAATAACCAAATTTGGCTTAGATCCAGTTCAGAGTTTGCTAGTCAAGAAAAGAACAGCATTTAGCTGTACTTCAATAATTTTCTTTTTTCCTATTTATTTTTGAAATTGAAATTTAATTCCTCTATATAATATGGTCCTAAAAGAAAGAAATAGCACAAGGACAGCTTTCAAGAGTACAAAACAGTTAAATGTTAATGGACTGAGAATAATACACTCTAACATTATCAGCAAAAACATGTTCTACACAATTTGCTGTAGGAGATTTGTAATAGCTGTCTGCCTGGTGCCAAGCTTTAGGTATGTCCTAAGTCACTTCATCCGCAGTGATTTTTTCTTTTGAGTGTTTGGGTTGATTAGTATTAGTATTAGTATTGGTATTGGTATTGGTATTGGTATTGCTTAAATGGCAGAGGAAGTGCTATTTGGATATCTTGTCCTTATGTAATAAAACATTTACAAGGAAATGCATCTGAAATTGTTTGCTGTGTCATATTTCCCTGTAAATTGTGATAGGATTTTCCAGAACTCTTTCTCCAACTTGGCTTCCTTTGAAACTAAATAACAATACAGCCCTCCCCAGTATGACCGAGGTGTTTCCTCCTTAGAAAATCTGATGCAAGCCCAGAGAAAGCCAGCAAGTTAGATGTATGACATAGCTGCTCCTGCATCAGTGCAGAGGCTTCTCCTGAACTTTGTGTATGGGTATTAGTATAAATCAGACTGATTATTCTGGAAGAAGCAAAAAGGTCATTTTCTGAACAGACTGTCTTAAGGTACACTATCATTTATCAAAAAATATGCCTTTGCCTCTAAGTAAGATACTGGACTCCCTTTGGATTTTTTTCCCCTGAAGTGGCAGAAATCTAAAGAAATTGTTCAGTACTTCAGTGTCACGATGGCCCTCACTTCTGCGGGTTTCCCCTGCCCTTATCAATATTGGCTCCACGCCAGAGCCGAGTAAGTGCCTGTTAGTGTAACACCGCACTTGGATAAACCGGGATGCTCCCTGCGAGGGTCCTGGGCAACTGTGCGACAATCACCCCGCTTCGTCGGAAGAGAAACCCCTCACCACAAAGCCTCCCCCAAATCTTTTTAAGGTCAGACAGCTGCAAAGCGCCATTTCCCTGCCCCAAATACCTCTTCCTGGCTCTCAGGCAGCGTCGGTGAGCACCTGGGGCAGGTAACCTGGAGCGGCCCTGTGCTGAGCCGGCAGCGCTGCGGAGCCTCCCGGGCTGCCAAACCTCCCCCCTCCCCGCCTCCCGCCGCCTCACCGAGGGAGAATAAAGGGAAAGAAAAAAAAAGAAAATAGAGAAACTCACAGTCTGCGGCTGAACCCCTCTACTGATCTCCCGTAGGAGGGCACGGAATAACTCAGCAGGAACACTGCGAAACTCCACTGCTGGAAGAGTTTAGCGAACATTGTATCCTCCGGGACTTAAAACCTGAAAGGAAAGGGAGGTCAGTCCCGAGGGACAGATGCGCCAGCGCCGTCCTCAAGGAGTTCCCGCTTCGGCTCTACCAGCTCCGAGGCTCTGAAGGAAAAACAAACTTTCTGAGTTTTCGGCTCACTCCTTCCA